GAACGCTCAATGACGCCGCTGGTGTGAATGAGGCCCTTTGGCTGGGTTTCCACACCTAGTGTTTCATGAGCACACATTTTTTGGCGATGCGCACAGGGCAGCCCATGGATTTCAGTAGCCCTAAGTGCGCCGAGGAAGCTCACATACCTTCTTCGGCATTCAGCTTCATGCGTTTTTTGATGGGAGTAAAGATATGCGCATGTTTGGGGGGGGCAATGAACAAATGAATGGCACCCCAAGAGTGGACACGTGTTTTCCATGCTGTGAACCTAGCCTCGGGGTTTCCATCTCCTTTATTAGCTCCCGGGAGAAGAGATTTCTCTGCACACACATTTTTCTATCCCAGCAAGGTTGAGGTTGGTGACAAATTACCTCCTTCTGCTCCTTCTGGAAGGAAAGATGACTTTGCAGAGACGGCACACTTGCTGCGGGGAGAGAGAAGACAATGTCAGGTCAGTGATGGAAATGTATATTTTGTTTTAATTGTATCTCTCTCATTTCCTGTCCAGACATAACAATCCCATTATTTCCTCATTAGTGGACCCCCGGGACAACGTTGATAATGAGCTCAGGGGAACCGGCTGTCATTACAAGGAGCCATTATACCGCAATGTCCAATAAGAGTTCAACACAGACCTAAAAAATCGGGGGTCGGGAACCCATCGATCGGGATCGGTTGTGAGCAGCTCCCTTCCTGGCTGAGAGGGGGTGGCCAGGGCGGCGGCATTCACTGGGACCAATCCTCCCTATTTTCCTCCTGCAGCAGCTAAAAAACAGCTTCTCCTACTACCCCTCCCACTAGCTACACCCCACCTGTCTAGTTTTTCCTTCCCGTTCTGCTGCCCTGTGTGCTTCCCCTTCACCCCAGCAGTGCTACCGGCTTCTCTCCTGCCAGCTGATACTAGGGGATCCTTTCAGTTTGGGGAGTGGGGGGATGGTACGGGGGTAAATATGTCCTTCCCTGAATGAACACAGTGATGATCGGTACTGATCACTCCTGTGTTTGTTCCTAACTAAAGCATAGTAAATTGTGTTTCCTATGCTTCAATTTGTGAAGGAACAGGGAGACTGTGCAGAGCTCTTCTGCTCATTTGTTCTTCAGCTGTGCAAATTATGAGGCTGGGCAGCAATATAAAGATGATGAATTTTTACCAAAGACCCCCAACAGGGCTGTTAAAAATAATTGTGAGAAAGAATAAAAAAATTATTTTGTTAAAAAAAAAAAAATTAATTAATAATAATAAACTACTGACATCGCCCCCTAATCTGCCGATACCACCCCCCTGACTTGACGATACCGCCCCCTGATCTGCCGACAATGCGCCTCCCACATCCTCGATCTGCCAGTCATTGCACCCCCCCCCCCGATCTGCCACTGCCGACACTACCGCCCCCCCTCTGCTGACACTGCTGGGAACACCGAGGGGTAACCCTTCCCAGGGGCCACACCCCCCCCCCCCCCCAGTTCTGCCAACACCGAGGGGTCCCCGGAAACACTAATAGAGGGGAAATCTTCCAATGGGGACACTAGTCTGGAGTGGTGACAGCTAGGGGTCCCCGGAACACTAATATAGGGGAAGTGTCTTCCAATGGGGGACACTAAAATCTGGTGACAGCTAGGGGTCCCCGGAACACTAATAGAGGGGAAATCTTCCATATGGGGACACTAGTCCTGGTGACAGCTAGGGGTCCCCGGAAACACTATCGATAGGGGAAATCCTTCCAATGGAAGTCTTCCAATGGGGGACACTAATAGTAAATCTGGGGTGACAGCTAGGTGGACGTCCCCAGAACACTAATAGAGGGGAAATCTTCCAATGGGGACACTAGTTCTGGTGACCTGGAGCACCCCAAGGAATTCCCTTAATTTTCAGCGATTTCCTCTCACTTTCTGTTTGGCTATGGGCTAGGAAGTGAAATCTCTCCAGGGGGACACAGATGGCAAAAAAAAAAACCCTGACAGGCGTTATAATACTCCCTTACTCTATCCAAAAACGAAAAAAAAAAAGTTTTTTTGCTTACAGTTCCACTTTAAGGTAAATTTTAAAAAGTACAATTCTATTTTATTTCTATTCAGTGGGCACTGAACTTGTTATTTGACAATTCCAGGTTTGTTGTGTCAGATTGTTGTGCTCCCCCTATGGGTACTGTGGTACCTCCCGACCAGCCCATATCACTGGTGTCTTCTGTAGTGGAACCAACCACAGCGGCAGGGGTAATGGGGGGGTTTACTAATAACTGTAATTCAGATTTTGTGTCCCCAGCCCCCCTCTAGTCGCTATGGTACCTCCCGATCTCCCCATATCATTGATGCGTTTTGAACTGGAACGAACCACAAACGGTACGAGTAATGGGGGGGGGGGGGGGGGTCACTGATAACTATCATTCAGCATTCATATTCCATGGACTGTCCCCTCACCTCTCCGGACAGCTGCCTCATGTTCTGCATATCGGAGGGCACGGAATCCGGCAGCGGAGCAGGAGAGCATCGAAGAGCCATGACAGCCACCTGATCAGCTGACCTGTCACATGACTCAGTCCGCCAGCGCGTGCTCGTCCCTTACCTCAGGAGACATTTTTCTGTAGCTCGCTTGGTTCTGTTGGCTTCAACCGACCCCAGTTAACAAAACACCACCGGACGGTTATATCTCCGTTTACATTCCATCTCCTAAGAAATCGAAGTATTAGGAATGTTATTTTCCTAGCTCTATTCAAACCTCAGGTCAAGCCTCTGAGGGGAGATGCGCTGTGATTGGTCGGAATACAGCAGCGGTGGCATACGTATCCTCGCCGGTCCATTGGCTCCAGTGCCTGTCACTCTACGGTGGGCGGTGCTATCAGACAGATTTTAAAGCGCCAAAATCTGTCTCCCATGAAGATATGGCCCCTTTGAAGCAACTGCGCATGTCAGGGTTTTTTAGGCATAAGAAGCCGATCAACAACCATAGCACAGAGCTGCCACCGCTGATTTACACTCACATGCCAGTGACATGAGGGGGGGGAATGACCATGGGAGGACAGTGACATGGGGGGGGGAATGACTGAAATGACATGGGAGACATGACAGTTTGACGTTGTGGGGGGAGGACATGTGATATGTGGGGGGGGGGGGTCTGACATGGGGAGGGACAGTGACGTGGTGGGGGGGGGGCTGACATGGGGAGGACGACTGACATGGGAGGACAGTGGGGGGATGATATGGGAAGACAATGACGTGTGGGGGGGTCAGTGACATGTGTGAGGGCAGTGACATTTGGGGGGGGGGGTCAGTGACATGTGGAGGACAGTGACGTGTGGGGGGCCAGTTGACAGGGGGGGGGGGTGACATGGGGAGGACAGTGGGGGGGGGGGGGGGGGGGGGGGGGTCAGTGACATGTGGAGTGACTGTGGGAGGACAGTGACATTTGGGGGGGGGTCAGTGACATGTGGAGGGACAGTGACATTTGGGGGGGGTCAGTGACATTTGGGGGGGGCTCAGTGACATGTGGAGGACAGTGACATGTATGGGGGTCAGTGACATGGGGAGGACACTGACGTGGGGGGGGGGTGACATGGGTTCAGTGGGGGGGGTCTAGTGACATGGGGAGGACAGTGACATGTACGGGGGTCAGTGGCATGGGGGGGGGGGGGCGGTGACATGGGGAAGACACTGACGTGGGGTCAATGACATGGGGGGGGGGGCTGACTGTGGGGTCGGGGGACCGTCTTTGGAGGGGGACAGTGACATGGGGGGGTCAGGACAGTGAGACAGTGACATGCGGGGGTCAGTGGCATGGGGGGGGCCGTGGACATGGGGAAGACACTGACGTGGTGGGGTCAGTGACATGGGGAGGACAGTGACATTTGGGGGGGTCAGTGACATGGGGAGGGGGCGTTCAAGTGACAGTGTCGTGCGTGGGTCAGTGGCATGGGGGGGGGCCGTGACATGGGGAGAGACACTGACGTGGGGGGGGGAGATTCAGTGACATGGGGAGAATAACATGTGGAGGACAGTGACATGTGGGGGGCCAGTGAAATGAGGGGGGAGGGGACTGACATGTGGGGAAGGACAGTGAAATGAGGGGGGAGGGGACTGACATGTGGGTGAGGGGTGGGACAGTGACAATGGGGGGGGGGGCAGTGACATAGGGAGGACAGTGACATATGGGGGGCAGTGGGGGGGGGGGGGGGGCTCCTCGGGGGCTCACATGGGGGAAGGACAGTGATATTTGGGGGGGGGGGGGGGGAAGTGAAAGAGGACATTGGGAGGACAGTGACATGTTGTGGGGCTGCAACATGGGGGGGTCAGTGACATGGGGGGGGGAGAGTGGAGTGAAATGGGGAGAGTACAGGTGGCATTGGGGGGGGCCTTTGGGTGCCACATGGGGACATGGGGAGGTACAGTGACACGTGCAGGGGTCAGTGACATGGTGGGGGGATGGACAGTGACATGGGTTGGTGGATGGGGGAGGACAGTAGTGGCTTGACTTGGGGGGGGACAGTGGGCATTGGGTGAGGACAGTGACATGGGGGGGGTGGCAGGAGGTAGTGACAGTGGCGAGGGACAGAGTGACGTGGGGGGGGGGCCAGTGGGAGGAAAGTGGTACAGTGACATTAGGGGGGGGGTGCGTGAGCTGACATGGGGGTGAGGGTTGTCAGTTGAGTCTGTTTCAGTGAGAGGGGGGGGGGAGTGAGCAGTGGCATGTGGGGGGACAGTTGGACATGGGAGGAGTGACAGTGTGGGAGGACAGGGTGAAATGATGGCGGGGGGGGGCGGACAGTAATACAGTGGATGGATGCCAGGGTGTGGAGAGGGACGAGCTTTAGGGGCACAGGGAGGTGGATTGTTGCTGGGGAGTGTGCAAAAATTCTCCAGTGGGGGGAGGACAGATGGTTGGGGATGGGAGAGGAGGGGAGGTGGAACAGGGTGATGAGCAGCGGAAAAACAGTGGAGATGAAGCGCAGAGAGGGGGGGTGGGCGGGGACCAGTACCATGGGAGGGGTACCAATAGGGACTAAAGGTAAGCAGGGAACAGTCCAGTGAGAGGGTGAGTTGCAAGGGAAGAGGGACGTATGGGTGCGGGAAGTGGCTAGAAGGGAGTTGGTGGGGGTAGTTGAGGGAGTTTAGAAGGATGGGGCCAGGACAGCTTTGGAGCCCAAAATGGGGGTGAGAGTGGCTCCGTTAGCGGGTGGTGAGTAGATTTGTGTAAAGCAGTGTTCAACTAGGAAGCGAGGAGGTCATGGCGGTGAGTGGACGAGGGTAAGCGTGTGTGTGTGGGGGGGGGGTGGGGTGGAGGAGGGGGGGAGAAGTGGGGGGGGGGAATTGGGGGGAGGCGGGAGTTTTGGGGGGGTGGTGGCCGATAGACTAGGTGTTAAGTTGAGCTGCAATCTAAGAATTACCGTAATTGGGGGTAGATGTGGGGGTTGTTGGAAACCCAGTTGTGGGAATACCAAATGTATACAATATATATGAAAATTAAAAAATAATAACTGGTGGGCAAATCCTGCCGAATAAATAAATGACAAAGTGCCCGGGGGCTGGAAGCCCAAATTCCCTGGGGGAATTGTTGCAAATACCAAAATAATGGAAGTGCCAAAGGGAAAAAGTCCAAATGGGAACATGGAATCAATTATTGCCCAAAAAAATCCTTGGATTTGGATCTAAATAGTGATGTGAATAATAATATCCGTATGACAAGGGATCTAAAGTTAGATGTGGAAAGTAATACCGTATGACAAGGAGTCCTTTTGTAGGACACCGACATAAAAGTGCTAAAGCACCCCTCGTTCTGTAACATAACGCACCTAATTGCTGCATGCGTGATAATAAACAACAATCACATAAACCTGCATCAAAACAGAGAAAACGCATCCCACTAAATGTGTATATTGAACACAAATTGCAAATGAAACGTCCAGTGTGGTGATGACACCTTAAATCTGGATAATAATAACCCCTTTGTGACGGCCAATCATTCCATCATGAAACACACAGGTGAAACTGGAAAAATGAGAATATGGTGCAAAAGTTCATTGATTTCAGTGCAGCAACTTAAAAGGTGAAACTAATATATGAGACTCATTACATGCAAAGCAAGATAGTTCAAGCCGTGATTTGTCATCATTGTGATGATTATGGCTTACAGCTCATGAAAAACCCCAAATCCACAATCTCAGAAAATGAGAATATTGTGAAAAGGTGGAATAATCTCGGCTCAAAGTGTCCCACTCTAATCAGATAATTCAGCCATAACACCTGCAAAGGGTTCCTGAGCCTTTAAATGGTCTCTCAGTCTGGTTCAGTAGGAATCACAATCATGGGAAAGACTGCTGACCTGACACCATCATTGACACCCTCCACAAGGAGGGAAAGCCTCAAAAGGTAATTGCAGAAGAAGTTGGATGTTCCCAAAGTGCTGTATCAAAGCTCATTAATAGAAAGTTATGTGGAAGGGAAAAGTGTGGAAGAAAAAGGGTGCACAAGCAGCAGGGATGACCGCAGACTGGAGAGGATTGTCAGGAAAAGGCCATTCAAAAGTGTTGGGGACTTTCACAAGGAGTGGACTGAGGCTGGAGTCAGTGCATCAAGAGCCACCACACACAGACGGATCCTGGACATGGGCTTCAAATGTCGTATTCCTCTTGTCAAGCCGCTCCTGAACAACAAACAACGTCAGAAGCGTCTTACCTGGGCTAAAGAAAAACAGACCTGGCCTGGTACTCAGTGGTCCAAAGTCCTCTTTTCTGATGAGAGCAACTTTTGCATCTCATTTGGAAACCAAAGGACCCCGAGTATGGAGGAAGAATGGAGAAGCCCAAGGACCCCGAGTATGGAGGAAGAATGGAGAGGCACAAGGACCCCGAGTATGGAGGAAGAATGGAGAGGCACAAGGACCCCGAGTATGGAGGAAGAATGGAGAGGCACAAGGACCCCGAGTATGGAGGAAGAATGGAGTGCACAAGGACCCGAGTATGGAGGAAGAATGGAGTGCACAAGGACCCGAGTATGGAGGAAGAATGGAGAGGCACAAGGACCCCGAGTATGGAGGAAGAATGGAGAGGCCCAAGGACCCCGAGTATGGAGGAAGAATGGAGAGGCCCAAGGACCCAGAGTATGGAGGAAGAATGGAGAGGCACAAGGACCCCGAGTATGGAGGAAGAATGGAGAGGCACAAGGACCCCGAGTATGGAGGAAGAATGGAGAGGCACAAGGACCCCGAGTATGGAGGAAGAATGGAGAGGCACAAGGACCCGAGTATGGAGGAAGAATGGAGAGGCCCACGGACCCCGAGTATGGAGGAAGAATGGAGAGGCACAAGGACCCCGAGTATGGAGGAAGAATGGAGAGACACAAGGACCCCGAGTATGGAGGAAGAATGGAGAGGCACAAGGACCCAGAGTATGGAGGAAGAATGGAGAGGCACAAGGACCCCGAGTATGGAGGAAGAATGGAGAGGCACAAGGAGCCCGAGTATGGAGGAAGAATGGAGAGGCACAAGGACCCCGAGTATGGAGGAAGAA